TATGTGGGATCCGAACCCTCGGCGGGAGCGCCGCCGCGCTTCCCAAGCAGCGCACTAGCGCAGTGCGCCACCGGGCCGGCCCGAGTCATGATTTTTTTAAAAAATTATTCTTTAACAACTTATATCCTTATTCAAACACACACACACACACACACACACACACACACACACACACAAAGAAAAGCATTATAAAATCATCTGGAAATGAGAAATGTGAACACTAATTATACAAGTCGTCCCTCAGTATTCATGGGGGATTGATTCCAGGACCTCCCACAGGTACCAGAATCCTCAGATACTCAAGTCCCTGATACAGTATGGTGCAGAACTTGCATATCCTTCCATATGCTTTAAATCATCTCTAGATTACTTATAATACCTAATACACTGTAAATTCTATGTAAGTAGTTGTTATACTGTATTGTTTACAGAATAATAACAAGGAAAAAAGTCTGTACATGTTCAGTACAGATGCAATTTTTTTTCAGGGAGAAAAACAAAAATTTTTATTTTTAACTGATGTGAGAAAGGCCTCAGTTCAAAAGGATCTCTCCCTGCAGTGGCTTAGGGTCTTTGCTCAAATAGTATTTTTTTTTCTTTTTTTAAAAAAGATGACCGGTAAGGGGATCTTAACCCTTGACTTGGTGGTGTTAGCACCACGCTCTCCCAAGTGAGCCATGGGCTGGCCCTTTTTTTCCAAGTATTTTTGGTCCTAGGTTGGTTGAATCCATGGATGCAGAACTCATGGATACAGAGGGCCAACTGCATTCAATGTTGTTAATGAATTGTTGTTAGTTTTGTTTAGTGTGGTAATGATATTGTTAGTCTTTTAATGCCCCTATCTTTTAGAAGTACATACAGAAATGTTTAAAAAAATTTTTTTAAATAATCTTTATTGGTCTCAAAAATCCAGAGTGAAAATGGTCAGTCTCTGAGTCACCCAGTTATAAGTGAAATATAAATTAATACACATGAAACTGCCAGGTGCTCATTTTGTAACTGGAAGTGAGATAAAGCGAGATCAACTTTGTGATGACACCAGCTTCCTCCAGGTTCGGAGACGTGTGTCACTGGAGAGGGATATTTATTACTTGGGGTGGAATTGCATGAGTGGCCCCTCTTAGCTGTGCTAACATTAGATTTGTGAGCGGCATCATCGTGGGAGGAAGATGTGATGGAGCCTTTTGTTTGTGGACTGTTAAAGCCTGACCTGACCTGACCTCCTCAAGACCCCTTGCCATGCCAATCCGGGTGACAAATGAGAAAATTTGCTTAGGGCCAAGGAGCGAGTCTAAAAGGAACTTGGTCATAAAACTTTTAAGGGGTTCCCAGTGAAATGGCCATGACTTCCTGGTATGTGGATTAAACCCGATATCTCTTGGCTACATGCCGTGATACTCAGGCTAGGTGACAAGTGATGTCAGCACAGGTACATATCAATGGCATTTCACAGAGCCCATATAATCATAGAACAGGAAGTTTGAAAGGTGTAACCCACATGGGGGAAACTTACAGCACCTGAAAGGATTAAATGCAAAATCCACCAATAGGAGAAAAACAAGAAATGGGAGTAAAACCAAACAGTAAATAAAGCATTAAATAGCTGAATTAAGTACAGTGAGGGACCAGTCACGAAAGGTGAGTTTAGTGAGGTTTGATATTATAAGAATTTCTCTGATGGACTGGGATAGTCCCAATATGTCCATTAGCAGAAAGTAAACCCAAGGACCACAAAGCCTTCTGTGCCATGAGTTTTCCAGGCACAACACAAGTACCTAAGGATGGGAGTGCAGCATGTGGTGGAGACTAGAAGCCCCTTTAGATGTGGCCACACAGGCGCTAGGCTCTGGGAAATGATGACTGGAGACCACTGTCCATCAGCACCACCACTCGACATTGACTGAAGCAATGGAACCGAATTGAAGGAACAATGGGGTTTTCTGGTTCTCATAGGAATGATCTCTTTGGACCGAGTCAGCCCCTAGGATTCTTGGATCATGCATGGATGGAGTGGGAAGTTCTCAAGAAAGAACAGATTTCCACTAATGAGAGAGGTGGCACTTGAGTGACTACTTAGAAAAACAAAAGAGATATGTCCACATCGTCTACCAAACGGATGAAGTAGATCATACTTACTGCAATTAACTCATGAACCAGTTACTAACATCTGTTTTGCCATGCCCTTTTTCCTGGACACTGACTTACCAAGGTGGAGAAGATAAATTCTAAGCACTAGTAAATTCAGAATATTTGGGGAGGAAGATAAAGTAAACAAACAGTAATAACAGAATATGACAAATGCAGGGACAGAGACTTCTAGTGTGTGTGTTTGGGGCAATAAACAAAAGAACAAGTAAAATGTATAGTATGTTAGACAGTGATAAATGTCCTAGAAAAAGGGAGATAAATGAGCTGCGGTGGGAGGAGCAATGCTACTGTAAATGGGATGGTGACATGGTGACGTTTGAGCGGAGACCTGTAGGAAGTGAGGGGTGAACCATGCAGTCATGTGGAGAAGAGGAAACTGCAAGTGCAAAGACCCTGGGGCAGGAGCACATCTGTCACGTTCCAGAAAACAGCTCAGAAGCTGGTGTGGCTGGAGTACAGGAAGCACAGAGGGGAGAGGTGAGAAGGGAGGCCAGAAAGGTAACGTCATTGCTTCTGAGTAAAATGAGGAGCTATCAGAGTGTTTTGAGTAGCAGCATGGCATAATAGGACTCCGGTTTTAAGAGAACCACTCTGGCTTCTGTGTTGAGAATAGACGAGTTGGGGCAACTACAGAAGCTGGGAGACCGGACAGGAGGCTGTTACAGAAACCCAGGATAGAGAGCAGAGAGGCTTGGGCCAGGGAGGGAAGAAGTGGCCAGATTTGGACATGCTATGAAGGTAGAAGAGAAGCAACAGGATCTACTGATGCTTGAATTTAGTGAATGAGAGAAAGAGAGGAGTCAAGGATGACTCCAGGTATATGTGTGCACACGTAAGTCAGGTTTATGGAGGTTTAGTTTACATACAGTAAAATTCTCCATTTTTAGTGTATAGTCCCCTGAGTTTTGATAAACACATCCAGGAGCATAACCACCACCACACTCAAGATATAGAAGCCAGTTCCATCACCACAAAAATCCCCCCTGCCCCTCGTGGTCGATCCTTCCCTCTTCCCAGCCCCCTATAGTTTTGCCTTTTGCAGAATGTCCTATTAGTGAAATCATGTAGTATATAGCCTTTGGGTTTAGCTTCCTTCAGTCAGCATAATGCACGGGAGATTCATCATGTTGTTGTGCATAATTTGTTCCTTTTTGTTGCCGAGTAGAATTTTACTGAATGGATATACCATAATCTGTTTCTCTATTCAACAGCTGAAGGATACTCAGATTGTTTTCAGTTTTTGCTGATCGTGAATAGAGCTGCTATAAATATCTGCATACACATTTTGTTTTCTCTCTTGGTAAGTCCT